CAGACCTTTCCTTCCTCTATGGAAACAAGAAAAGTTCAACATCTTCTTCCCAGAAGTTCTGCACGCAAGGGAAACTGTGCTGCTTTCAGACCTGCCCTGTGCTCTGGGCGGCCCTTCAGAGCCCCTGCAGGACGTTCACCCCTGGCCTTTGCAGCGCCGTTCACACACACGACTACATTTTACGTCTGTCCTCGACTCTTCCATGGAAGTCCATAAACAGGTGTTGGCTTGGGCAGCCCTGCTCTGCTGTACTCAGGGACACTCTGCTCACCTCTCCTGTGGTCCCAGAGCCTGATGGACCCGAAGGAGCAGGTGGCTCTCAGGCAGACCCTTCGGAAAGACTCAGGCTTCAGGTTACACTGCGGCACTTGCCCTGCTCCAGGACGACGTGGCGGGGTCCTTACAACACTTCACCTGGGCACTGCCGGGGAGAACCAGCCAATCGTAAAGGAAGAGTCACCACCAGGAAGTTTTGATTATGACCAATTTTATTTTAAACCTGCATTGTTGGGCACTTTGTGGTAATGTGTCATTCATCCAACATTTACTTTTGCATATATATTTTTTTAATTCCCCAAACAAGACTCCTGTGCACAACGTCCTCCCAATGGAAGTCGGCTTCAGAGGTGACTCAGGCTGCAGTCTCAAGGGTGCAAGAAGGAAGCACGTCTCGGTGCCGGGAGCTTTGCACAGACACCTGTCACCAAGTCTAGCACAAAGCTCTAGATGGTCAGTCCTTTCAAACGGTCGTTCACTTGAAGAGAAGTAAGCTTTGGAAAAGTTCACATTTTAACCTCTCATGTACCTTTTGTGTAAAAACGCTTGGTGCATTTTAAATTGTAGGTCTCGTGCAGTTTATACTTGTTTGTTGTTTTAGGCGTTGCTTTAAGTACTAAATCATAACAGGTTATCAAGAAATCTCATTTTTGTATATGACTATTAAGTGGTTCTCAAAATAACCATAAGGAAAAGACACTCTCTGAGGGATGGTGACTTGACACATGGGTGCGCTTACCATGCATAGGGTTCTAGCTCTGTCCCGGCCTCGATGTCACAAAATGAACCAAAGGGCGCATTTGTCAGTGTACCTCAACAAGGCTCTCTGCTGAGACATGGGGTGACACAGACGAGGAGACTCAGAGGTTTATTGTATCAAAGAGGTAATCATTTGTGACTCTTAAAAGACTGTGTATTTTAAGTTACTTCGCTTAACTGAAGTACGGTTTGAAAAAGCAGAGCTGTCTGGATGGAAAGCATCTGGCTGTCTTTGCTGTTCAGTACCTTGTGTGATTTTTTTTGGTGTGTCTGTGTATCTCACCCAGAGCTGCAGGTTTCCCACAGTGCTTTTCTGCCTCATTCAAGTATAATAAAGGTAGAAATCTATAGAAGCTCTAAGGTTAAACAAACTGTACATCATACAAAAATTAACTTAATTTACAGACAGTCAAAAAGTATCGGCAATGCCCTTCATAAATCTTATGACCAAAGACTCACCACAAGGGTCTTACAGCTGACACATGTTTTGTCATCGCCACATAACGCCGTGGAGATGCACGTGGTACAGGACTGAATATTGGTTCAAAGTACACATGAGAGTCAGCACTTTGGACTATATACATTTCTTCTGAAGTAACAGTACCGTCAATGCTAACCCAAGGTTCAGGATTTTCTTATTGCATATTTATTGCTGCTGAGGCAGTTAGTCGTGATACAATAATGCAATATTCATAATTCATAATTATTTTAAATAAAAACATTTCTCCTGCCGATAGATAGTATAAAGAATACTTTTTTTCTAAAATCACATAGAACATTGCTACATACAGTTTTACACAAATACTGAAGAAACTTGACCTTAAGGCACCTGCTGGAAAAGCAGATGTGCATGTATATATGAACTAAATTATGCAAGAAAAAAATATTGCACAAAATCCTATTATTCTCAAAATTAAATATGCTTCTTTCTAAATACACATAATTCTCTATGTTGACCAAATCACAATCTTAACTGATTTGCTCAAAACAACAAGCTTTAAGAAACAGACGCTGACAAGTTCCTGGGCTCGACACAGGAAAGATGTCAACACTGACAGTCTGTAAAACCCATTTCCTATCATAAGAAGTGCTTTGGGGGAATTAGCTCTGGGTATTCATTTTACATTCTTAAATTTATATTCTGATCTACAAATATCTACCCAGAATCCATATCTTTAATGCCAAACAAAATGGAATTCACATTAGAAAATTTATTCATGGAAATAATCTTTTCCTGAAAATCCAGATTTTCGAGAAAAGAATGATCGAAGAATGAGAATAGTCACAGTTTTGTCCTCTTGATCAGCAGTCTACTTCTCCACCTGATTTCAGAAACAACTAATCTGTAAGCTCCTGGGCCCTGTTGATGAGGATGTGAGCACAGAATCTAACAACATCACTGTCACACACGGTTTTAGTCTGGGGTGGGGAACTGTTTCTAGAGAATGCTGTTACCAAGACAAAGATGGCAAAGACTAGGTTCCCACCAACACGCATCCACTCACCCCACTCTGCTCCCCCTAAGCCGAGCAAAGGAGCATGGCCACCTGGTTCGGCTGAGCAGCGTGGGACCAGACAATCAGATACACAAGAACACTTCATTTCTAAGAGTCTCTGGATCTGTCCTTTAAAAGCAGGTGTCCCAGATAGCAGCATTACTGTACTTCGTAGAACAGAGGAAGAGAGTAACGAAATCAGAAATGCTCACAATGGTTCTGTACTCAGAGCATGTTTCAGATTAAGCAGTTTTAAAAGACTTCTTTTTGGTGATAGAATCTTGGCTGAATAACTTCTAAGCACAATATATTATCATTAACAGAGATTTGCAATTCTTTTCCCTTTTAATTGGTTCCTTCAGAGCAGGGACTAGGTCAATTCCTTTGTGTCCCGGCGTCTGCAGTCACGGTGCCTTGCCCGGGACTGGGCAGAGAGTCAAGTGATATTTCCTAAATGAATGAGCTTTTAATTTTGAATCAGAAGAGTAATCATGCTATATTGTGGTGTCTTTCTAAAATAGGCTAAGTACGTAACCATCAAAATATACCGCTTAACAACACTCTCACTTAACAAAACAAGAGCTCCTAAATCCACACATACTCTTTAGCCCCTGAAATACCACAGGTGCAACATCTAAGGGAAAAAGATAAAAGTCAGGGTGAGATTCAGGGAGAATCGTGACTCTGTGTGGAGGCCACAGAGAGACCATGGACCAGAGCCAAAGGTCTTGCTCGTTTATGCGATTCTGTCAGAGAACAGGTGTAGTCCTTCGAGGTGGGGCGGGAGGAGGAATTCAGACAGCAGGGGAATATACAAATGCTTGGTTTAGTTACAACAGAAAGTAGGAACCCAGGAGAAACTAAGATGATACTTACACTCCAGAACTCACTTGCACTTCATCCTCCCCGCATTCACCGCGGTCCTGGGAAGGCTCGTTTAAGACCAGACTTTGAAGACTCAGAAAGGGAACGGTTGGAAATACTAATACTTGCTACTAGTCTTTTGTGTTGTTTTCCAGGAATCACACGTAGACTTTTTGTTTTCAACGTGGAATCGAACAGCCGACTTAGTGTGGTAAAATAAGGCACGCGTCCAGCTTAGAACAGCCCGACACAAGCGCACGTGTCAGTGGCTGCCGTCTCACGCGCACAGCAGCGCCGCCAGGTGTCCGGGGACGTGGCGGGAAGGCAGAGAAAGAGCTCCCGCTTCTGAGGCCGTGAAGCTTATTCAGCGAATGCACTGAAACCCAAATTTTGCCTCTGCTACACTCACAATTATCCCATCCTTCAGACCACGAATTCTGAAGGAAAAGAATATCTCATTCCAAAATTCATATTAAAGGGCTGCTATACATTATTTTCAAAAATTATGACGAACGTTTGCTCAGCAGATTAACAACCAGAGTGACAGATTTTCCTTCTCATTTAAAACAGCCCTTCTGATAAATGAACTTCTGTTTTACATACTTCAATAAAGCAAAATGGAATTTTGTAATGAGCGTATAAAGGCAAAATCTGACAAGAACCTCGAGTCTTACTTTCATGTTAAATAGAGGATTACTTTTTTTTTAATATATACAAAGTCCATCCTTATCAGGAAAACAAGATTTGTCTTCTTTCATAAACATGAACGAATAACTGTCCCAAATAAAACACACCCATTCAGATTCTGGAGTGTACTTTAAAAAAGGCCATTTTCTTTACCTTATTTTTAAGCAATGTTTTTAACAAAACCCCTTCCAGGACTTTTTTAAACTGAAAACTAAATTCTGACTTCAGCAAATATTTCATACAGTCTTGACGGGGGTTCTCAAACGGTTTCTCAAACTCCCTTCCTAAAATGACAATTAAAAAAAATACTCATGGCTGGGGATGTGCAGAGTCTGTGCCCGGAACATACTAACAAGACGCCGTTCTCGCCGACGATTCCTGCCCACCCGGCCGGCCGCGGAGCCATCGGTGCGCGAGCCCCTCTCAGGTCAGCTTCGAAGGCGG